AACATAGTGTTACTTGTTTCTGAAACAAATGGCGACGTTTTAAAGAAAAAGTTTGCAAACATTAATCCTTTCAAAATAATTTTCTGTTTGACAAAGTATGAAAACGTGCAAAAAGTAACCCTCGGACAACAGTTTTTTAAAAATAAAAAAAAAAAATACACAAAGAGCAAACAAAAAACCATTGCGTGGAATTTTATAAATATTCTTGGGGATATTCCAGAGTGTTAAGAAAAACCATGTATGAATGAAACTTAATAAAGCATTTTATTATCTGACCTACATAAATAATTCTTAACATATGATAATAACAATTGTCATTTCAACAAGAAGGCGTTTAACATCGATGGATGCTTGCAACATTTAAATCATTTTAAAACTACTGTGCTTGTATAATGTAGATAACTAAATTGGACAATAACCTTGACGACAGCCCCGACAATCTTAACAATACGCCAAGAAGATGTCCATGCGAGGTATATCATACGGTGGGCGTTCATTTAATTTTGCCAATAGAGCTTTACAAGGAAAACTATGATATTTCAAAGATTTTTTCTTTGACAGAAATTATTATTTCTTGTTTCGAAAACTAACCTATAAAGAATTATAAAAAACAAACTGCCTAACGCACTGAGAGACTTACATTGACGTTCAGAGACATTTTTCTTTAATTAATAATGGGAACAAAACAATTTTACAAGGACTAACGTTTGGCAAATTAAGACGGTTGAGGAAGGTGAACCACAACCTTTTTTTCTTTGTCTAAGCAATCCTAGATCAGACCAGATTTGCGAACAGCTGTTTTAGGTAAATAAAGACCAAACTTCGAAGTCGCTGGTGTTTTTTGTTTCATAAGATTTCGTCACTTTTGATAAGATATTGTTCATAAAAATATTTTAAGTACCTGTACTGCCGTTTGCACCTGTACTCAAAACTTAAGTCCACTAGAAGCAATGGCTTTCAAATTTTTCCTTGCAAATTTTCTTATCGTGGCTATGGTCAATCCTTTTTTTGGTGTTAAGCAACTGCTGCTTCCCTGTAGACATAATAATGACTCAAATTTCTATCACTGATGAGCAATTCAGAAATATACAGTTCATCTGTCAGTAATTATGTGTACCAGTGCGCAATATTCTTCAAATTTAAATTCTTAAACATGAACATAAACCTACTTTTAAGGTTCATCAAATCTTTCATGATATGCTGAGAAAACTGTTTCAGTATATTTCCCATAAGCATTCTAAGACATGATGATTTTTCTGGGTAAATTTTACGATCAAGTAAAGAGCCAATGAAACGCAATATATAACTAGAACTCCGCGAGTCGGATGTGTCGCCTTGTGAACAATATAGTTCAAGAGAAATGGCCAGGACAAAAATGAAATATGAAAATTAACAAAGGGCAATAACTCAAAAAATAAGAAGTGCAGAGCAGCAGAATCTGTGCACTGCACTTCTTATCAATAAGATCTATCATCCTATGAAGTTTCAAGTCCATAGCTTTTATAATTTATGAGGAACGGCCTGAACAAAAGTATGAAAATTAACAAAGGGTAATTACTCAAAAATAAGAAATACAGAGAAACGGTTCTTGTACACTGCACTTTTTCCTAATGAGATCTATCATCCTATGAAGTTTGAAGACCATAGCTTTTATACTTTCGGAGAAATAGCCTGGGCAAAAAATAAAGTATGAAAATCAACAAAGGGCAATAACTCAAAAAATAAGAAATGCAGAGTACCGGTTCTTGTGCACTGCACTTTTTCTTAATGAGATCTATCATCCTATGAATTCGAGTTCACAGCTTTTATCAATTAGGAGAAATGGCCCGGACAAAAATAAAGTATGAAAATTAACAAAGGGCAATATCTCAAAAATTAAGAAGTGCAGAGTAACGGTTCTTGTGCACTGCACTTCGGGTCATTATCAGAAGCATGCATACCAAGTTTGAAGTCAATCCGACTTATAATGACTGACTTATGCTCCGGACAAGCTTAAGGGGACGCCGACACCGACACCGCCGACAAAAGTAACCCCTGTATGTCGCCTTTTTCAAGGCGACACAAAAACCATAAAAACAACAACAAAATCAAACAAACAAACAGCAGCAAACAGCCTAATTACCTACACAAAATGAACTGACAAATGAAGTCCAAAAATATTTATTAGTAATTGGAATATACTTTTACTTAAATGTTGATGTTTTGTTTCTCGAGACAATTATTTTACTTAACATGCATTTAGATTATGTTACTTTACATGAATTATTTTTGTAGCATGCTTTAGGCATGAGTACACATGTGACAAATGTAGTAGAAATGTTTTTTTTTTATATTTTTTTGAATAATTTTTTGCAATGAATCAAATACTAGACACTACTATTTTGCATTAATTCAGCATTAAGCATCAGTTATACGGATAATAAAATGTAGAACAACACAAAAAGAGAAAAACATGATTATATTATAACCTGATATAGATGTGTTCTTCGAAATCAGTCATTAATCGCATATAACATGTAACGTATTACTTGAATTTCGAATATTTCTACTTTTCTTAAAAAATTGTACATTTTTTTCTCACGTTTGAATTTCTTGAAATAATTCGGCTTATCTGGAGGCATGGTGCTTTCATTGGTTGGGTGGTATTAATTTCGGATGAACTTATGAAAGCAGTTCTACTGTTTATCATGGCCCACGTGTTAGTTAGTATCGTTCTTGCAAGAGCACTTGAAAGTATACACATTTTATCTGCATGTAAGAAACAAAGATTTATTTGAAATGTAAAAGTAATACTATCTTATAACGAATGACATAACTAATGACAATCCAAAAAGTCGTGTGATACTCTACTTTTGTTTGGATACATGAATTAACGAGATTGACCATTATAACTCAGACTGTGACCCAAGTGAAGGCATCCATATTACCTTGATGAAAAATGACATAAATATCATGATTTTTCAACATAAATACATCGACATGTCAACGTATAATCTTGGAATCTTTCTCTCAGAACAGATTGTTTCTATTGTAATATTGATTTACTTCTCCTTCAGAAAACAAATCATAACATTTTCCTGTTGTTATCGTTCAAAAAATATAATTGGTACTAGTAATGCATGTAAAATGAGCAATGATTGTTTGATAATACTAGTAGTTTATCTATATAAAAGTGACAGTATGCTTATTTTTCGTAGTCAATTGTGGGTGAATTAGCTATATATTTTATAAGAACGGCTATTTTAATGGAGATTGACCAATAATTTATGATTACAAATGTTTATGATAAATGTAACAACTGCCTAAAGAGTAAATAAAGACTGTTCCGCTCTTTTTATCTAGTGCTCATTCTGAAGAATATTTATTACTGTTTATTTTTCCATGTGCCACATTGGCTACTAGCTAGTCTTTAGAAGTACATGTAGAATATGAGATTAACAACAAATATGGCAAAATGTAAACTTATTATGACTTTTACTTTCACCAATAATACTTGGATGGGCATAATGGCAATTAAACAAGATGTTTTAAAATGAAAATAACGATGTTTGTAAATGAAAATAATTATAAAGGCTATTAAAACAACTACGACAAAACTGACATCATTACTTTATCCTGAATACACATGTATTTATATTAAAGGAGGTACAGGGAAAAATGACCTGTGAGATTTTAACACCGTAACTTTGTTACTTACACGTAACTTACATGTGCTTGAATAGCTGGAACACGCTCCGTACATCCCCTTCTTTGATCCTGCCTTACAAATTAGCAATGAACAGCATCCAAACATTGTTCAGTTATGTTGTATGTTAACTTTGACGATTAAAAAGGTGTTGATACTTGTTAGTGACACAAATGTAAAAGGGGCATTCCATAAACATATATTTTGTTTCTTTTTTAAAATCCAAACCATTATTTGCAATACTGGTGTAGCCCATGTTTCTTTTATTGGAATGGACAATAATCCCTTTTCACTAATCGAAAGACAAATTGTTGTATCTTCCCAATTTAGAAACAGTACTTTTAAAATTTACATTGATAGTGGATAAAAAAGTTACTTTTAACTTCTAAGTATATTGACAAATATAAGCATAAGTAAATAAAATAATCTTAGAGTAATAAACTTTGTTTGTTATCCAAAATCTTGAAGATTAAGATTACAAACATATGCCAACACATCTCTTTATATTTAGTTTTTATTCACTCGTTTACTCGAACAGGCTTTGTCGAAGGGGAAAAATGACAAAACTGGAGAAGCAAAATGTTAAAATAAATGACCAAGATATTTAAAACACTTTTATTTATCTTTCTAAAGGACAAAAATGTATGGATTTAATGTACTTGAATTTTGTCAAAAATAAGTTTTAAAGCAATGGACAAATGCGTTTTCAAGATATTCATAACATTCTTATACAGCTTACTAAATGATCATAATAATTTTGTGAAAAATTAGTTTAAAAAAATGCACAAATGCATTTATTTTATAGCAAAATTTATTATGTCTACTTCATTTTCTTAGTACTATTTGTTCGTTCGTCTGTTTGATCTTGCTGCTTATTGTTTTTTGTTGTTGTTTTAATGCCGAAATAACACACTTTTTGGGTCATATCCGTCGGTCCAATCACCGAACCGGCTTTTTTGGATGGATAACTAGCCAGTAGGTTCAAATTTCTCCATGACCGACTTCTCATCCCACATGTTCTAATATGTTTATAATTAGAAATAATATTTCTTTATGCTTTTAATAGAATTAAACAACTAGTAAACTATTCATAATGCACATTAACGGATAGTTTCATTCTGCGTTCATATATAACGAGAACAAATATGCAGGTTGAAAACGTTTTTGTAAATGGAACTCACGAAATAAAATTCAATTACTTTGCGAACATCCTTCGTAAACACACAAAACTTCCGGTCGCAAAACTTCTACTGTAAGTATGTGTATGTTAAGCAAGTCACGTGACCATGAAGTAGAGCGTTCGTTCCATATAAGAATGGAGGAGAAATAAAAAAACGCAGTAGACCTCCTGGATATTTTCGGACCTCATTGTGTTTTCACACGTCTATCAATGTAAGTAAAATAATTTTTAATATTTAATGTTAAAACTTATTTTGTTACAAAATGAAATTTCCTTGTGATTAAACTTTCACATAAATGTTACAAGGAAATATCGAGCAAAGAAATCAAATTTCTATATAAAGACGCTATACTATATTTATAAAGTGAATCTATATACATTCATTGCAAAATAAGTTGAATTAAGTATGTTGTGATACATATTTTGGTATTAATTAACAAGTTTAACGATAATTTGTTTTTTGTTTCCTTGCATACTTTTCTTCATTTTTCCCCATTTACTTTGGTAAATTTATTTCAATAATATTTGAAAGTGACATTTCTAAGAGACTTACACAACATACTGTACAGAAATTAAATATATTAATATGATAATAAAGTGGATTGAACTGAAAGCTAACGCTAAATGTTTATTGTGATTCGCTTCAAGTTACTTTATGCGTATAAATGTCATATTGCTTTATACTTCACAACTTGAAGACTTACTTTTACATACGCACTTGTTTCTTCAAACGATATTCCAAGTATTCGACAAAGCGATATTTGATAACGCGCGGGAAACACATAATAAGTTCTCATTCCGCATGTTCACTATTAAAAATTTCAACCTCATCTAGAAATTTCTACATGTATTGTCATACGTTTTCCTCATTAATATCATAAAATATTTTTTAAGCTTAAATCCTTACGACAAACTCAAGTTACGGATTTTTTAAAAACAAATTGTCTGGATAAGGGCAGTTAAAGATCTACAATCTTTGCATAAATTGTTGCTATATGGAATGTGTTTGAGAGCTGTAAAATACAGTTGTTTTTTTATAATCCTTCTGATTGAAATTGCATTATCTAATTACTAGTATTTAAGTCGGTGTTCAGATGATGCAACTTTCATTAACTCTACAAACAAGGTTTTAAATTATTTCTTCCATTTTAACGGCACATTGACACATAAATAACCATACCGCGCCGAACAGTATAATAGTTAACATGAGATTATTAAACATAACAAAATGGTTAGTACAAGGTTACAAAACGGGTTTGTTAAATTTTAGAATACAAATTCCAAAACTATGCTATAATACTATATGTGTATTCAGGTATTTAGAACATAACTTTGGCAAAGTGCATCTTAAAGAATATCTAGGTCTTTACGACTAAAATGATATAAATATATTTGTCCTATTTATAGTGTTTTTTTTTTTAAATTTAATAATGTAATTTGCGTGCATTTTCAGCACAAGTCAACAATGAATCCTATTCAAGTCACTTTAATTTCTGCTCTACTGGCGCTGTCCACTGCATATAGAGGTAGGTAAAGTTTTCAATACTTGCATTAATATATGAACTAAAAGTTAAAATGTGAACGAAATGATGCGTATGTAACCCTGTCTCAGCATGATACATGTATTTATAATGTATGGAATTCAAAACATGATTGAACCGAACGAGCATCGCAAATGTTACGGTCGCCCCCTGTCTGCACCGCCTTTTGTATCTTCTGCCTGTTTTGCACCGTTTCTGATAAGTGTCGTAAAGAGTTCCTTTCCAGCGACTGAAGTATGTCGGAGCCTGCGTGCCAATTACATCGTTCTCTATTATTGATATTTGTATACATTATTAAGCTTAAAATATTATGTATATAGTATGTCCATTCGGGTCAAAAGTATTCTTTAACCGCCTTATTTTATGACTGTGCTAGTCCTCAGACCTTAAAATGTCCTAAAATTGTCAAACACATTTTTTATCAATAAAACATACCGACGAACATACCTTTATGACAATAAAATATATATGTAATTGCAGGTGGAGGTGGCGGTGGGATGGGTGGTGGTATGGGCGGAGGAATGCCTATGGGTGGCGGAATGGGTAAGTTTTGTTAATCTTTGATATAATGAGATCGTAACTAAGTCTTTTCAAAATTAAGAACTGTTGTCTGGATTGTATGACACTGTGTTCGTCTTTCAAAAAAAAAATAATTTTTTTTTAAAAATTAATAGAGATTTTTTATGTTTTAGGTGGCGGCAAAATGGGCGGTGGAATGCCAATGGGTGGTGGTATGGGCGGGGGAATGCCAATGGGTGGCGGTAAAGGAGGAATGGGTGGTGGAATGATGATGCCAATGGGTGGTGGTATGGGAGGAGGTATGCCAATGGGAGGTGGAATGGGCGGCGGCATGCCAATGGGAGGAGGTAAAGGTGGAATGGGCGGTGGCATGGGAGGCGGCATGCCAATGGGAGGTGGAATGGGCGGCGGCATGCCAATGGGAGGTGGTATGGGTGGAGGAATGCCAATGGGAGGCGGAAAAGGTGGCATGGGCGGAGGAATGCCAATGATGATGATGATGCCAATGGGCGGCGGTGGAATGCCAATGGGTGGTGGTAAAGGAGGAATGGGAGGTAAAAAGCTTGTTATTTATTATCTATTTTACAATGAACAGTCATTTATTTGGAGCTTTAATTAAGACTCATAGGGTATTTTTGTGGGGCTTCAAAATAAGTATTAGCATTAAGGAAAACCTGAAAAACTATTAAAACTTGTCTTTAGAAAATTATCTTTTATGAAATAAATATAAATAAAAGTTGCGAACTAGTGAGAGGTACTTTTATTATGTTAAAACACTGAGGTATTACAATAATAATATACATATATCCTGATTCTAGGAGGTATGGGCGGAGGAATGCCAATGGGAGGCGGTATGGGCGGAGGAATGCCAATGGGAGGCGGTATGGGCGGAGGAATGCCAATGGGAGGCGGCATGGGCGGTGGTATGAGTAAAATGATGATGCAACTAATGATGGGCGGTGGAATGGGTGGTATGCCAATGGGAGGTGGAATGGGCGTTGGAATGATGCCGATGCCAATGGGTGGAAAAGGAGGTAATGCTTATATAAACAACATTACCAGTTCGTCACGTTATTTTAACAGTACCAGTTACTAGTAGTCACGTCATTTTAACAAGTGTTTTACGTAGGAAAAACGTTTTATATTTTCTAAACTTGTTTGTATTGTTTAATATACCTAAAGTTCCAATATTCTTTAACCTTAGTGTGTCAAAGTATCACTTGAATTTAATTTCGGAACAGGAATGGGCGGTGGTATGGGTGGAGGAATGGGCGGCGGTATGGGTGGAGGAATGGGCGGCGGAATGCCAATGGGCGGTGGTATGGGCGGCGGTATGCCTATGGGCGGTGGAAAAGGAGGCATGGGCGGAGGAATGATGATGCCAATGGGTATGGGTGGAGGAATGCCAATGGGAGGTGGAATGGGAGGAGGTATGCCAATGGGAGGCGGAAAAGGTGGTATGGGAGGAGGTATGCAAATGATGATGATGCCAATGGGCGGTGGAATGGGCGGAGGCATGCCAATGGGCGGAGGAATGGGAGGTAAATATGCACATGTCAAAATTCGTACAAAAATGAATGAAATGTCAATGTTGAAAAGCGATATCAAATTCTTTACATTTCTTTGTCAGTAAACAGAATCAGAAGGTCAACTCGTTTTTCAAATTGTTAACAGTAAAGACATAGCTGTTTCTCAAATTAACTCCCTTGTATACTTAAAAGCAATTTCTTCTGAAGAGGTTGACACACGTCAAATAGGTGACGTCAATATGAATAAAAGTTGAAATTTGATATGATCCGTGAACTACTAGTATTCTATTATTATATATTTATGATTATTTTTTTTGTGTACCCGAACCTAAATAACAAATATTTACATGTATATGTATTTTATCGGAAATTCAAACGCTAGACTAGTCTTTCACATAAGAAATAAAACAGCTATCTTGCTAGTTAATTGTCAAGAACTACTCCCACATTTCAAAAATTGTATTACAATGTTTCGATGTTACAAGATTACTGTAGAATACAAAGAACGAATCTCTTTTTTTGTAATTTAGGAATGATGATGCCAATGGGAAAAGGTGGAATGGGCGGTGGTATGGGAGGAGCTGGAGGAGGGGCAGCAGCAGGTGGTGAAGGAGGAGCAGGCGGAGCCGGAGGAGCAGCAGGTGGAGCTAAACACGATGCATGTAAGTTCATGCTAATACTTATATTTAAGTTTTTTATTGTCTCTTATTTTAAGCAAATTTAAAAAATGTCAAATGAATTGAAATATTAAATATATGTTATTTTTGTTTTTAAAGATACACTTACTATATATGTAGGCAGGTTAACTATGTTACGCGAAAATAATATTGCAAACTGAGTCTAATTACCTAAAAATGTAAGATTTGGCTTTGTTTTATAAGACAGTTCAATATGCACAGTTCTTAAAGCCCAAACATTTGAAAATATCTGTTTTTACCACGATTATAGTAGAAACAATGACATTTCGAAGAAGCAAACAGCAATGAACATATGTGTATGTTTATAGTTGTATTAATAGTATTAGTCAGTCTGCAAGACTCTATTCATACCGAGTCTACAATACTTATTATACCGAGTTTGATGGACACTACTCATACTGAGTCTCCAAGACTCTAAATTCATATTGAGTCTACAAGACCAATCATACTAAGATAGCTGCACACAACTCATACTGAGTCTTCTACACTCTATGCATACCGAGTCTGCCATGCTCAAGCTATACCCTTACCGATTGTCATACTGAGTCAAAAGTCTTACCGAGTGTGAAACTCAATTCAAACAAAGTTTACAAGACTATTTATATTTTATAACTTTGAGTGAAAAACTATTCAGACTCTGTAAGACTATATTCATACCGAGTCTACAACACTATCGATACCAACTTTAAGTGAAAGACTATTCAAAGGCTGCAAGACTCTAGTTATACCAAGTGTAATTAATTTTTTTTTTTTTTTTGCTCTCGGCGGTTCTCCTCTCAGATTTTGTTTTAAATTAACAGTCACTAGAAAATGAAAATTTCATGCGCATCTCTTTTCTTTTCATCAGAAACGACCGGACCGTCTAAAACGACTTCTCTAAGGAAATGGGTAAAAAGATGACTCAGGAATCCACCACAAGTTCTACTCATGGACATGACCGTTTTATCCTCGACAGTTTTTCATGTGTATAAATACTTATTCCACATGGACGAAGTTATATGTTTAATGTATAAACAATATTTCTTTCAAGCCCTATATACATGCACGTGTATGTTTTATACTTTATATAGTGTCAATGTTTTATGTATGACTAAAAAATTACCATATTGGTATAGAAAAAGACATCAAATCTTATAACAAAAACATAGGGCAAAGTTTTACAGCTAAAGAACTTCGTCCACATCATGTGACATTGCGTTGTAACCAGTTTGCCTTTTTATAATATGCTGATTCTATAGATCACAGATTATAACTTCTGACATATACGCCAATATTCGTCGTGTCCATATTGTTTTCTATGTTGTTGTTCTTGTTAATTTATGTAGATAATAAATTAGATGCATTCCAAAGGACGTTTTGTATTTATTTTTTTCATGTTTTTATTCAGTAAGGGCATCTAAACGAAAAATAGGGACGATCAATTCTTATTGAAGTCATCGTATTTTGAAAAATTATCTGCCATCTTGTATCTTGGGATCGCCTGATTATAGTTTTAACCATATTTTCCGATATATATCGTTCACCCCGTTAACCGTAACCACGATATCTGCCGGAAACCTAAGAACACACATCCGCGCAGTTTACGCAATTGTAAAAAAAGTTCCAATTCTGTTACAAAACTACTTACTGCTGATAAAAAGCTTAAATTATCCTGCACGACCAAGCAAACTTTACCATGTGTTTTTATTATTGAAAGTTAATATTTATAGTGACAAATTTTCGGAGGTCATGTAACAGTACATATTTGTCACATTTTTTGCTGGCGGATTTTAAACCTGGGTTAAAAAGTTCATTGGGTAAAACAAATTCTGTCATTTCCATACACTTTTAATCTCTGAAGCAAAATATTTTTAAAGATATACTCAAAGCAGTACATGCATTTTGTGAGTTTAACACACAGTGACAGATGGCCAGCATATCTGCACTTCAGTACTTTGATTAAAGTTTCTTTTAGTTCTTTTTTCGGATAACCAGAGCTTTGTTACAATGATCTTTATTTCACAAAGGAGAAAGAAAAACAAGTTATCCTGTGTAACGACCAAATGATGTACGTATAGAAATTATTTCAGGATAATATTTATATAATCTTGAGATAGTGCTACTCTGTAACAGGCAGAACAAAACCATTAAAGAGCCATAACTCAGACAAATAATTG